GTAGATGTTAGAATCTATATAGGAACGACATCTTAATTATCTTATGTTAGTGACGAATTAGTCATAATAATCAAATGAATATCGGTCAACTTCGATGGAAGCTGGAGAATTTATGACAATAATTATTGTCGTTAGGTTTTGTATTTCCACTTATTTTAGGAGTAGAGGTAGTCAATTTTATTCGAAAGCGTTTCCTTCGCTAATAGTGCGTCCGTGGGTTCGGTCGGAAAATTATATCAATTTGATGTAATTTGCCGATCGTGGCGTTCTTTTATTTTAGAAACAAAATCACCGCGAATCTCCGCTGCGATTTTTATCGCAGCGATCACGTCGCGTCGCGTATGTTCAACGACAGTCTACTATAATTGTGCGATATAGACGCGACATAATAATACCCTTGCGTGGCCTACTATAACTACCGGCCGCACAACAGTACAAAATTTTATCATTGTCCGGGTAAATTATTAAAATTACGCAAATAGAAGACAAATGCCATATTCTGTTTTGTTCTTCACTTGTTTTGAAAAATTCACGGCGGTTCGTCTAATGGGTCAAACGGGTTGTGGTGTTTTATTATAGCATTTCTAATGGTAGCCAAAACCAATTTACCATTTTCTCATCAAATTAATAATAATTATTATAGGCTTAGATAAGTGATGGTACAATTCAGCGACATGGTTGTAGCGCATCCTTTTGGTTAGATATATCATTATAACATGTACCTAACATCTAATACCTAATAGCGGTGCTTTTTTTCTCTATGGGTTGATTGCTTCAGTTGCTGGGTTCGATGGAAAAGCGGTAGGTATTACACTACTTAAGACATACCAACACGTCCGCGTTGTTTTTAATGATATAGAGACAACAGCCAATGCTACCGAAGCAGTAGATATATAGGTTGTACCCATGGTATTGGTATCACCGTTTCACATGAATATAGCGTATCATCTACAGTCAAGTTGAGTCCAACATACCCATCCATCCAATGGTAATACTACGCAATGTTATTATCCGAACTGGTTACTGTTCACAACACGACGTTTATATGATGGTACATGTACCTATAGGTACAATAATTTTATTAACTTCGTGGGTAATTCAGTAGAAGTCGTGGTCGGATGGTAGGTACCTGTTGTAGCAAGGCTGGTAATCATCGGGTAGAATTAATTGAAACAATTGAAGGAGCGGTGCTGTTACGTATTTCGAAGAGGTCAGGTAGTTTTTGTACAGTCTTATTAGATAATCCCTCTTGTGCCCAATCGAATTCCATATTTTGTTATTAATTGATTACCTTGATCCTTATATGGAGGAAATGCTTAGTAAATTACTAGAAAAACAATAGAGGTTAAGAAAAGTTTACTTGTTGTTTTGTTAAAAAACAAAAACTATATTGGCAGTTGTTTTTGTATGACAAATGAGAAAAGAAAACAAAATTCCTTCTAAACGTCGTTTATCGAAAACACATTCGATTCCATAATAAGATCTTGCATTTGCCATACAATTAAACATTTAAATTTACATTCACTTTTTTTGACATGAATTGATCGCGTGTCTTCATGACCTTTGCATGTCTGGAGAGGCACGTTTACCACTGAAACGTAGGGCATCAATAATCAAGACACCTGTTCGTCGACAATTCAAAAAACAAGCGACGAACGATGGCAGCATAATTGCCACGACAAAAGGGTGGACGAATTTCTCCCTTTTGGTCCGACCAAATTGATGGTTCTTATTTAATCAGACAATCATATCTACTATGCTATCTACTTATATATATATATATAGATATAACCCGTTTCTCATAAAATTTATTGACCTCAACCGTGGGATTTTAATTAAATTGTCATCGAAAACATGAAGCAATTGTTAAAAAGAATCGAGTGCAGTTGTTACATGAAATACAAAAATTTCGTCTGTTGACACGACTGATACACGTGAAGAGAATCGTCATGACGAAACGTGCTTATGTACCTACCATTAATTGAGTTCCGCATATTTATAATGTGGGATTGTTGCGGTTATGTGCGGTTAAAGTCGGGTCTTTTGTACCATTGTCTGCAAAATCCGAACCAAAACATTGTTGTTGCCACTGCGGTCGCATATAATAAATTTAGGACAATGCGTAGGTGGCTAGGAGGAGAACCATGGACAGACATCAGTCCCATAGCAGTGTCCACCTGGTGTACCATCTCCGATCGTAAAATTGATTGGCATTACGTCACAAATCACAAAATTGTATTTTTGTTTTGCTAGAAAACCCTATTAAGTCCCCGTTGGTCGGACGTCGGCGTTACCCCAACGTACAATTGTAAGATTGATTGTAGTCGCCAATCGTATACCTATATAACAACTAATTATCTAATTTGTCTCCTTCAATTCCTAATCCCCTTCTCTAAAGGTCCCTTATCCTTCGGGATCGCAAGGGTACCCAGAATCACATCATCAGTAATCATTATTTCCGATGAAAATCGTATTGCAACAAAAGGGGTTATTATCGACGCTTTAGATAGTTACACATTTTTGTCGCCATTAGAAACAAATGATTTGAGTTGTAACAATTGACTGTGAACGTATATAAAAACAAGAGACACTTTTGAAACAAATGATAGGCAAAGATCGTCAGATTTTTTAATTTGAAAGGATTAACAAGAGAACAAGTGCCCGATGCAAACAATTAATAACAAAAACAAAAGAATCGAAACAAATGCTTCCTGGTATTTTGTTGCATATCTCGTCTTGTGTGTGTCAATACACATTTCATGCGATTTGTACGTGTTCGTGTAGGTGATAGGGTGTTAATACCACATGTGGAAGTTTACACGATAAATTATAGGGCACTTGGGGGTTGTGTACAGGACCAAGTGTTACTGCTGGCGAACGTCCGTAATTGTTTAACCACTAGAATAGGAACACAGTTGGGTTGAGGCAGTCGTCCTTTATATTCTAAGGAAATTTATTACCATCACGTACCTACCCACGTTACAATAGTTTCGATGGTACCTACGGAAAATCATTTTTTTTTTTTTTTTGAAAATGCCTGTTCGTCCTAATTCCTACGGTGAATTGTGCGGATGTCCGGGTCATGGCAACTTGGCAACCTCGATACGAACGAGGCCGTCCCGTCCGTCCGTCGGGTTCGGAACGAAACGCGTCGGGACGTCAAAAACAGACGTCCGGTTCCCACAAAACTTATTTGGTTGTTGACGTGCATCGACCACATTCATTATTTCACCCATTTGTTGTAATAGGTACAGTTATTTTATGTTCTTATGTATATATATATATACGTAACTATATGACGTACGCTCTGTTCTTCGAATGAAAAACAACCCCTGTTATTGACACGAAGGTGACAGCGAAGAATAAACGGGGAATATGACTTGACCAGGTCGTTTTGGGGAATGGGAAAATATGGGTCTATAAATTTCAGGCAAAAGTCGCAGTTAAATAAACGATTTAAAAAAAGGGGTTGTCGGCGAATTGTTTGAGGGTCACACAAAAAATAAATTATACAATTTATTGGCTTATTTAGATACCGTCTGAATCATCTTGGTCTTCTAATTGATCGCAAAAAAAATAGGGAAACATAATCTTAACAGGTGACTACATCAATGTAAAAGGATTTCGAATTTAATGACTTTTGGACTTTTCAACCCCTCTTATCATAATTTTCACCGGGTGGTTAGGTTTTTAAGAGTGTTTTACCTAGAGAAATTTCTCTAGGACTAGGGATTTTACAGCCAGATTAAGGAAAAGGATAATACTGTGGAGTTGAATGAGTTAGGTTACCGTATCATGAGAGAAGGGTGTAATTTAGATTTACTGAATTTAAAGAATAATAAGGCAACAGATGTAGGTGGGATACAGGTGGAACCTACGTTTAGACTAGTTAGTCAGATATACGAGACGGGGAAAACCCAAAGGAAACGTGGTAGTAGCCATACCAGAGAAGAGAGACCCGGATAGAAGGAAGAAATTGGGAAGAAGAACTATTAGGGGAAGGTAAAATTTGGATTTAGAAGAAACGGAGGAACCCGGGAGGGGTAACAGTAGATGACGAGATACAAAGAGAGAAGAGTGATACATAGTTTGTATAAGCTATGCAAGTAGAGAAGTAAATATTAGGAAAGGAGTCAGACAGGAATGCCCACTGTCACCGCTACTTTTTAATCTATACATCGAAGATGCTATCAACATCATTAAAGACAGTATAACTGTAGGGATAGATATACAGGGGCAGAAGATTAGTATGCTTAGATTTGCAGATGATATAGCAGTATTAGCATCTAGCAAGGAGGACCTAGAGATAGCTTTAAATAAAATGAAAGCGGTATTGACAAAACAGTATTGTTTGAAAATAAATAATAGTAAAACAAAAATGCTGGTATGCAAGGGAAGAAAAAGTAGGGAAAGAGCGAATATAAAGATAGGAGACGAAAAATTAGTAAAAGTGGCTGATTTTATGTATCTAGAAAGTCAGATAAGTCAGGACGGAAGGAGTAGTAGGGATATAAAGCAGAGGATAGCGCAGGGTCGAGTCGCCTTCAATAAAAAGAAGTCACTTCAAAGTTCACAAACGGTTAATTTAGAAATTCGATAAAATTTGCTAAAGGTGTATGTCCTGCGCACGGCGCTGTACGGGTGCGAAACATGGACAGTGGGCGCGGCGGAAAAGAAAAAGTTCTAGTTTTAGGGCAATTCGAAGATTAACTCAGGATACGAAAAAGTAGAGGTGCATGTCCAACCAGTCTTAAAACTGATAATCTTATGAAGATGACGATGATAACGGGTTTTAAAATTAATTACGACTTTTTAGGAAATTTCATTTTTAGAAGAATAGATTATGTACCCAGCAAATAAATTAATTCGTCACTTACCTTTTGGATAATCTTCGTGGTGTTCCCGATAAACCCATTGAATTAAACACTGTCGCTTAACAGGTAGCTATTGTATTATCAAAAAGATTGGTAATATTATACTTACAAGTTTATTTATTAGTACTGGACAATGATAGAATTAACAATATACATTTAATTTAAAATATAGCAGCAGCTGATGTATGTACACAAAGTCCTTACCCTAAAACTTGTTCTGTACAATTCAATATGAACAACTAATTTTTTTTATCATTCTGACATTATCATGGTCGTCTTGTCTTCCCTACCATTATCGATAGAAACGGTGTTTTGACTTCATTATTATCATCATCATATCGTCGCTTCCCTAGATCCCTTATCATTTATTAGTTTTATGTAGTTTTTTTTTCGCGATCTTACTTATTTACAAAGTCTTATTATGTATATGTATATATATATATATTACAATCAGATTGGGGAAAAAATTAAACATCATCGTCGGATAAGTTCTCCTTAACTGTTGGCACTTTATCGCGTTTTCACACAGGAAAGGATTCAAAAACAAAAATTCCGTTCTACTTTTGGAATAATATCTCATGAACCCGCCCCTGTGTTTTAATGCTAGCTACAAAGTAAGCTAAAGTAAACGTTTAATAAAATAAAGCTGTACATAAAAATGAAAAACAATTCATTTCTGCAGCGCAACAAAACAACGGAATTGCAGAAAAAACATCGATAATACGAAACAAAAACATTCAATATATTATATGCGTATTTTTGTGGTCGTCTTTTGTCGATATTGAAACGTAGCACATGAACAAAAGAGAATGATAATCGATACCTCGGTCTTTTGTTTCTTCATCTGTTCAGCACATCCAATAGTACGTTTATTCTTGGCGGATGTCGTAATATTGTTGGTAAATCCGAAACTGTAGGAGTCAGTCCCTAGCCCTTTTGGCCAGTTCTTTTGCTAGCTACCAAACGAGTCCCTCGTTTAGTTGTTGAGGGTTGTCGGTAAAACTGCCGGGCGACATAAATTCGGGACTACCACTACCGCCTCCTCTTCCGCCGCTGGTACCATTGGTACTCATCATCTGGTGTTCAGGACTAGGTCCTTGCTGGGACATGAACTGGCTCTGATCGCCTGCCATGCTGCCAAATTCTCCGCCTATAGGAAGGGGGCCTCCGTGTTCCATGGGGCCTCCTTTAGAAAGATGAAAAAAAAAAGGACTCAAAACTACAAATATCAAGAAAAAAAAAAGAGAGTACGTACCAGGTTGATTGAAAGGCATGGGCTGTCCACTGGGATGGTGACCCGGGAAAAAGGGACCATCGTGCGGATGAAATGGTGGCCCCCCGTAGCCGAATTCGAACTTCCCGTCGGCTGTAGCAAAATAGGGAAATCCCGGCGGGCCGTCTTCCAAACCACCGGGAGAGAGATTCATCGGGAATCCTCGCATTTTCCTGGACGAACCGAAAAATGGTCCTCTGCCCATAGACGTCAGTTGTTTCAAACGACGCTCTTTGGAGCGCTTGTTTTGAAACCAAACCTGTAACAATTGTAAATGATAGAGCGTCTATTTTTCATCCAGAAAATTATCACCATAATATCTGCCGATAGGTACCAGAATCCCACCATCGATTTTGCGTTTATTATCGCAGATCTTACAAACTTTTTGCAAACCGATCGAACTGAACTTGGGAAGCAAGAATGCCGTCCCATTAGATACGACCATGGAGCAATTAAAAACATCGTTGCGACCACCTGGTACCTACGGACCCATCGCGCCGTCGTCGTAATGTAATGTGGAGTGAGACTAAATTAAAACATTTCTTGACGCAAAATAATATTAATTAACAAACGAACGTGTTCGCCACTCGTGATATTTATAAAGCGTTAGACGAGAGTAGGAATAAGAGATATAAAGTCATTTGACGGACTTGACGTGACAATTCCAATGAGAGGACGCGGTCAGACGTAAATGGATACCACCCTGGAGTTTCACAAGGTAATATTACTAGGTACGTGAATGCGCTGTAAGCAAGAAAAAATTCAGGGGATTCGCTTCCTGGTTAGAACGGTTCGAAATGGTTAGAAATGAGGAGGTATTAGAAAAAATAGGAGAATGGAGGTCAGTAAGACATAGGCGAGATGGTGGGACATGAAGGGCTAGTTAGAGGCATACTAGAAGCAGAAACAGGAGTTAAGGGGAGTGAGGGTAGACCTATCGGGTTGTTCGGAAAGTTATTTCGTTTTTTCCCGACAGAGGATTTAATTGTATTCTTTTGCACCCAACTTCACATTTAAGCCGTAAAATTTTTATATGCTTTGAGAGCTCATATAGCAAGGCTTGTGTGTGAAAAATTCCAATTAATTCTACGCAGTAGTTTTTGGTTGGTGCCCTT